GAATGCCGATTTCTCCTCTCTGAACAGCAGATGGCGCAAGGAAACACGAACACGCTCTGCCCAGACCAGGACAGGCCCTGCCGCGACACGGAGCATGGGGACAAGGAGCAGCCCCCTCTGTGCGTAGGTCCGGCAGAGGGGCTGCCGCCCCTGCAGCGAGCACCATTAACAACAGCTAATCCCCTACACCGCTAGCGAGCTGAAGGAGCCGCGACCAGAGTAGCGGGAAAGGAAATTAAGACCCAAAGCACATGGAGTGATTGGTGCCTGCACTCCAGAAGCACAAGAAGAGCACTTAAACCCCATAAAGTTTACCTACCTTTACCTTAAAATAATGAAAATGCTAATATTTATTACAGTATTGTACTTATTCCTTGAAAACATAACAACTTACTCTTTCAAAATCATTTCGATAAAAACAAGTAACAAAATCTCACAACATTCAAAGTTGAACAACATCTAGGTAATAAGGTGGTGACGGTAGGGTTATACTGTACACCTCATCCTTGTACACGTCCACCTTTTACAAATGATGCAACATTTCTAAATAAGGACATTTGAGGAAGCTTCTACAGTAAGGCCATTTTTAACCTAATGGTCTACTGAATTTTTACACAAGAAACATTTTTAGACATTTAAGAAAGGCCCTGAAATCTTTTTCATCGCCTAGGACTTGGCTTTACTGGTTCCCCTGGTAAGAAACTGCAGCCTCCTTGCAAAGACAAGCAAAGGGCAGCAAACGTTGAGGCCAAACCACTGCAGAGCGTTGGCACAGGCATCGACTGCACTAACCTCAAGTACTTCCTTTCATTGAGGACAGTCGATGGCCAGCATAATTCACCTCCTTGGAACAAGGCAGACTCCAATGATCATGGACTGACTTGAGCTTCCTTTTAAAAAGGAGATGGTGCTTCCCCTGATGTCTCTGACAAGCGTTGCACTAAAAAGCAGAAAAGGAACAATCAGGTATCCAAGGGAGCAGATTTTCTTCCCAACACAGCTTCATTTAGGACCAAACTTGAAGCAGTTTCCTGAACACCGGCAAAAGCCTTTGGTTGATAGGCGGCCTTCACTGGACAGTCTGGATAGCACCCAGAATACGATGCCCATCATTATTTATAAACAGACACCTGAATATTACATTTACTCAGCTTAAAATTGCTGAATTGTAAAAGAAAACAGTTTGGAAACACCAAACTCAACCCTCATAACCTTCATTTGTCTTATTCTAAAGGGTACGCAATTCTTTATAGGCAAATGTTACAGTAATTATTTTAAACAGAACTTTTTTTTTTCTTTTTTGAAAAAAAAACCTCAGTGTTAGCTGACTTTCAAGTTGCATTATAGTATACAACACTAAGTTGAACCTCAAGTTGCGCAAGCCACAATATTTTAGTGAATAACCATTCTCAATGGAGACACTCATCTACATACATATCTCAGTTTAAAGACTTCAGCCCATCTTATTTGTGGAATTTTTTCCTTAACTCCTCATATTTGTTTCTCAGTGAACATTCTTCCTGAAATACTGGGTTCAGAATTGAAACTTACCTTTAGAGATGCTCAACCATCAGAAATCCTTGATTTTTTTTTTTTTTAAATCACATCTGTGGCTTGACTGTTTTAAGTTCTTAAAAACAACTTAGTTTTCAGGCTGTAACACTCAACTTCTGCTGCACACAGATACATTTTTAATCCTTACACGGACAACAGTATTTTCACATATTGAGGCTGACATCATGGGTAGTCAAAGAATATGTTTAATAAAAAATAATTAAACTTCCATTTGCTCTATAGAACATCATAGAAAGTAATTCAATAAATTACAAATGACTTTTTAAGACGCTTGTTCAACTACAGAAAGCAAATTCAGACTACACAGAACACAACTGGCAAATATTGCAAATGTCCAAAAAAAAAAACTGGACTAAGACTTGGATCATGAAGCCTGAAACAAGGGATAGAAATACAAGGCAATAACAGCTAAGGTTCTTTTAGTAACTACCAACACACACTTTATCATCACCTTGGAGATCCTTTTAATTTTAACTTCAGTATTAGTGTAATTCTACTGAGGTTTCCTTATAACCCTTAACTTTATACAACCGTATTTGCATATAGTTTATAGCTGATAGTGGGACATTTTTTCCCCTTCTGATTCATACTGATTAAAAATAAACCCGATATATTATGTTCAAGTCTACACCAGCCTTCATTACTTGAAACTGTAATTGCCTTATTACATAGAAAGAATCACTAGAATGGTAACCAAACTCACTTGAGCATAATTAGGAAAATACTTTATTTCATAAATCTGATATAAATTAGTTTTAGCCACAAGATTTAGGATTTCTTCTGTGGGGTTAGGGTGGGAAGTGATGGTTTCGTTGACACAGTCCATCAGCAAACAAAGTTAATAACTGTTTGTAAAACTTTGGCTATTTCATAGATGCATCCTACTTAAATAAAAGTGCTATATTACAAAGGGCAAAAAATACACAATACTTTTTTTTTTCATGATGAAGAATTGCTACCCCCTTCTCTTGGCAGTTTTAGATTTTGACTATTGCTAAGACACTGCATGAAGGGCCAAAAAAACAGAATACTATTTGGGAAAAAATGTAACCAGCACAATCCAAATGGTACTTGTATAATTGTGTAATTACACGTAATACTGCTTCTAATCATGGGGTTATTTTGCACATAGAAACTTATATTTCATTGGTAAAGTTCTTGGTAAAAAAACAACACAGTTGTTTTACTGTACAAGCAAGCAACAGAACTATATCAAAATATACAGTTTGTTTTTTAACCTTTAAATTTATCCCTTTGTAAAGCTTTTCCAATGACTTCTACTAGTACCTGTATCTATTTCCTCTTAACACTTGCCTGTTCTTGGACCACAAATGATATAACTAAGGTCAACTGAAATCTCAGGCAGTTCACAACTTATCTAAATGCGAATCTGGGCCTCTACTGTGTCAGAGTAATAGCAGCTTAAGAAGAAGGAGGAATCATATCACACATCAAATAGTCAACAGATTTTATATAGCAAAGGGTTCAAAGGATTTGGACTTAAACAGATGCTTTATGCCCTGTTCTTGTGGTTTCGAGGAATAATTTTTCTTCCCTACAAGTCAAAGTGCTTTTTCTTTAGTGGGCAACTCAGCATAATATATGAACTGATATCCCAATAGTGATTTGGGGTAATATTTAATATTTAGTCAGATTTAAATCTGCAGAGAAGTTTAAACTCAAAAGGAGTTCAAAACTATCTATACTTTATTTACCATTATTAACTGGTAATTCCAGGAGGTTTTATGACATAAAACACAAATAGAAATCTACACAAACAAAGCAAACAAACAATTTTTACATGAAGTATGCAGTGTTGAAAGGTCTTTTCAGTGGCACTTTATGACAGTCTGCCTCTTCTGAGTCTTGGGGAAATTACTCCTTATTTTGGGACTTTTAATTCTCTGGAGGGAACCCAAAACTTTGCAAGGTGTAAACTAAATAGGTCTCTATGGTGCCAAGTAGCATGAGATAAGACAGTCTGTTTTAATTTCCCTTTACCACCGTCAAAGAGAACTCGCGTAATGAGAAAAAACAACTCAACAGTCCTATCTCAGATAACTCAGATTTTAACATGATATCATACAGGATGTCTTTAGAGAACAAAACAAAACCTGAAAACAAGTGAATAGAAACCAATGTAAACTTCCTAAACTAACTCAGCTGAGGTAACAGGTAGCCAGTTTAATTGGCTGATTGGGAAAAAAATTTAATCTTCTTTTAAACACACTTGTACCTGAATTGGAAACAGCAGTGCATCACAACACTAGAGCATTTTCATGTAATTAAAGCAATGGATGGTGATGTAGATTCTACAGCTTTCATGACATTCATTAGCTGCCCAAATTATTGCTGAGTTTTGATCTGTAAATTATAAGTGTCAAGGAGGCTGTAAAACTATATTCAAATTAAATCAATAATATGCATAAAGTATTCTGTGTTCACTGCAAATATATTAAATATACAGCTCTTACTTGAGCATTATTTTCATAAAATTAACCCCCCAACAAAATTATAATGCCTTTTGTTGTAATTTTACACCATTGTGTATTTGATAGTACATACAAGTTCAGAAACTTATGAACTTCAAGAAATATTACATGCAAAATGTCTCTGAAAGCAGTTTGCACTTCTAAACAAATACTGAAATGTTCGCTCAGTAAATCATTGATGCACTCAACACTGGGTTATTTACAATGAAATAATTAAAGAATAAATTCAAAATCAGTTTATAATTTAAGTGCAGAGTCTGGGGTCAGTCTTCATCACTAGAATCTGAATCCTCAGATGAAGACGATGTACTATCAGATCCAGATGAAGCATCTGCTTTCTCTGAACCCTCATCTGTGCTGTTTTCATTGTGAGAGCTTGGCTCTGTTCCCCCTTTGTCTTCCTGATCTCTAACCCTAGAATTTTCCTCTTTTTCTTCTGTGGGCTTGGCTGAGCCCGTGTCATTGTTTTCACTGTTCTGTACATCAAAAATATTAGACTGAGACAAAGCTGGGATATGAAGATTAAGGCCTGGAGTGAGAAGCATCCCTGGATAAAGTATGTTGGACAACAGTAATGGGTTAAGAGAGAGAGAGTTGGCAGCTGCAGCAGCAGAGGATGTTGAAGGAGAACTCGCAACAGAGTTTTCACCACCAATATCTGTATTTTGGTCTTCTGTCCTTTCTTTCTTTACATCCGCCTCCTTGGAATCGCTTCCCTTCTCCTCCGAAACGGCCTCGGTGGCCTTGGCGAGCAGGCCGCCCATGCCCAGCAGGTTGGGCAATCCCGCCATTCCCGAGAGCAGCATGGGGAACATGGCAGCCACGCTCTTGGCTTTCCCT